GGTAATACGTACGGCCCCGTGAAAGTTTTTCACGGGCAAGTCACGGGTAAGTTAATATCTCGGGAATCTCGTAGTCTAGGAGGCTGAAGTTTTAGGGCTATGACCCCCTGTCCACCCTCAACCTTGTCCATTCAAATTCAGCCTTCCCTTACCCGCGGGCAACAAGTACGGCTCCGTGAAAGTTCTTCACGGGTAAGTCACGGATAAGTTAATATCTCGGGAACCTCGTAGTCTAGAAGGCTGAAATTTTGGGGCTATGACCCACTGTCCACGCCACCTTGCCCATTCAAATTCAGCCTTCCCTTACCCGCGGGTAACACGTACGGCCCCGTGAAAGTTATTCACGGGTAAGTTAGTATCTCGAACCTCGGAGCCTAGGAGGTTGAAGTTTGAGAATAATGACCCCCTGCCCACGCTCAACCTTGCCCATTCAAATTCAGCGTTCTCGCGCTCTCGGTTACCACCTATAGCCTCGTATTTTTGACGGATAAACTATTAACTCGGGAATCACGGAAAGATATTCATCCTTCAAGATTTCGAATTCAGCTTTCATACGCAGGTGCGTGAAATTTTTAAATCACGGAAAGATATTCATCCTTCAAGGTTTCGAATTCAGTTTTCATACGCTGGTGCGTGAAATTTTTAATTGTTTTTCAGTGTCTGAACTATTTTTGCATAGACTAAAGTACAAGGAAATGAAAATCATTAACAGGCAATCGTTCGATGGGCTGAATTGCACAAAACGCATAATCGCACCGGCTAGTCTGGTGCGCGTTGCCATTTATTTTCTTTTTCTGTAAATCCTTTTCGTTTTAAAGGATTTTTCTTTTTAAATCCTATTCTTCCTCCTCTCTTTTTCCATCCCTCTTCACCCCACTCCTATTCTTTCTAATCTCACAGTCATTATGCGTTTTGTGCTGTGTAACAGCGTTACAAAACGCATATTGTCACGGGGTTGTCTGTGTGTGTGTTTGTGTGTGTGTGTCCCACATTTTGTCCCGCACTTTCAACTTGGGAACCACAAAACCTAGGCGGCTGAAATTTTGGTGTAGTGTTCCCCGCCAATGGACGATGCGGCAAATTTAAATTCAGCCTTCCCTTACCCGTGGATAACACGTACGATGCCGAGAAAGTTTTTTACGGGTAAATTAATATCTCAGGAACCGCAGAGCCTAGGTGAAATTTTAGCGTGATGACCCCCTGTCCACGCTCAACCTTGCCCACTCAAATTCAGCCTTCCTTTGCTCGCGGGTAACACGTACCGCCCCGAGAAGTTTTTTACGGGTAAATTAATATCTCGGGAACCAGGAAGTCTAGAAGGCTGAAATTTTAGGGTAACGATCCCCTGCCCACGCTCATCTTTGCCTATTCAAATTCAGCGTTCCTTCGCTGTTGGGTATCACCTACGGCCTCGTGAGAATTTTGGCAGTTAAACTATTAACTCGGGGATCACGGAAAGATATTCACTCTTCAAAGTTTCGAATTCAGCTTTCATGCGCTGCTGCGTCAAGTTTTTAATTATTTTCCAATGTTTGAACTATTTTTACATAGGCTGAAGTACAAAGCAGTGAAAATCATTAATAGGCAATCGTTCGATGGGCTGAATTGCACAAAACGCATGATCACACCGGCTAGTCTGGTGCGCGTTAGGCAATCGTTCGATGGGCTGAACTGCACAAAACGCATGATCGCACCGGCTAGTCTGGTGCGCGTTGCTATTTATTTTTCCTTGCCCCTTCTGTTTCATCCTCTTCCCTTTCCCTTTTTCATTAAGCACTGCCACCGTCATACTGACGAAGTCCTGTCGCGGTGTTGAGTTAAGGCGTATATAACTTACCCGGCCGAAATGTCTTATCTCACTCTTACCTTCTTTTCTCATACTGTTCTTTCATGCTGTAATCTATCACATCCTCGCCATTTAGGCTTCCAGGGCCAGCATGTTTGCTACAATCTGCTTACCTTACCACCAGCCGACCACTGTAGGCGATTCAACGAAAATCCAGCTATCACTATGGTCATTTTCGCGCAAAGAAGGAGCCCTCGTCAGAAAGCAGAGCTATGTCTAAATTGGACAACGCATTTATCTAAAATCTGTCATTTTACGGCAAAAAAAAAAAATAATTGGCCAACGCACGGGCTGCCCGTGAGAAGATGCGCTTTTTGCACAGCTTCTCGCAGATTTTTGTCGCTAACGGCACTGGTTTTTCCGGCAGATGCTTCTAGCTAAAAGAAATTGACCTCCAGAACTGTCAAGAAACATCCCTTCAAAATCCCAGTTTTCTAGCTTCTCACTTTCCTGAGTTAGTAACTTACCTGGAAGAAACTTTCAAGGGTCCGTACATAAGTACCACGCTTACCCGGGGGATGGGTTTGAGTGCATTAATACCCGGTTGGACGGGGAACATTCCCCCAAAATTTCCAGCGTTCTAGTTTCTCAGATTCCCGAGTTATGAACTTACCCCAAAAAAACTTTGGCGGGCCCGCACGCGGGTACCACGCAGGTTTTGGCGTCCGTTTTGGGGACCGGGGCCGGCACGTGCGTATAGATTAAGTCCCCGAAATTTCAGCCCCGCAGCTTTTACAGGTCTTGAGATGAAAGTGCGTGACAGATGCACACACAGACGCACAGACACACGGACACACAGACAACCCCTCGTCAATGTGCGCCTTCTACATTGCATAGCTGCAAAAAACGCATAAAAATGGAAAATTTCAGCAAAATGCACCTCATTGTAGTTCGTTTGTCCTTTTTCTTTCACTTTCTCGCATACTTTGGTACTGAAATGTCGCAGGCCTTTCGATTTATCAGCGCTACGTGGAAATTTGCGCCCTCCGCCAATCTCGTAGGCATATTCACTTGAGAATGGCCGTTTCACGCTGAACACTGAGCTACCCGAGAATACCGGAGGATAGGCACTGATCCGTGCGGCCGGCCCAAAACTTCTCGATACCATTGCAGAAAGTGTCATCGATTGGCTGCCTCCGGCGGTTTGCAACGACTGCCATTTCGACGGCTGCATGCCCTAAAACGCGTAATTTTTCAGCAACTAAATAATGCAATAAGGAATTAAGTAATTTTATGTTGTTGATAAAACTTTTACTTTTTATACTGCAAAATTTTTCGGTCTAATGCTGAGCTACAATTTAAGTATTTCAGAAATTTTAAAGATACAAACTATGAAATCCCTGGCTATGAGATTGGAAGAGGATGGGGGCCTGAAATCGTTTCTATGTTAAGTTATGCAGTTTTTTTGGCGTTGGTGACCTACCGTGGAGAGGAACACAATCTAATTTTGATAATTAATGTAAAACTGGAAATGCCATTTCGACCTCCCAAATAAGCAAATCTGTATATTCGGTACCTTGATCATAACCTGTCTGTGTTTCATCCCTGAGCTGTAAACATAGATGGCAGAATCGGAGCGAAACGGGGTGGGAATCATCAGTAAAGTGCCTCATTTCGTCACTTTTTTCGGGTAAGATCATAACTCGGGGACCTGAGATGGTAGAATGCTGAAATCTTAAGAGGATGTTCCCCGTCCAAGTGAGCATTAATGAGCTGAAACCCAGACACCGGGTATGCGTGCTACCCACGGAAAGTTTTTTTCCAGTAAGTTGCTAATCCAGGAGCCAGGAGAGCTAGAAAGCTGAAATTTTAAGGGGATGTTTTCTGACAGTTCTGGCAGCCAGTCTTAATCTGTTTAGCTAAAAGCACTTGCCGAAAAAAAACCGGTGCCGGTAGCGACAAAAACTGCGGTGAACTATGCAAAAAACGCATCTTCGCATGGGCAGCCCGTGCGTTGGCCAATTATTTATTTTCATGAGAGTGCAGAGGCTTGCCGTTCATCTAGTTAGACATCACATCCCGATTTCTTTCGCGGGCCGCCGGTTGCCCATCTGTGTTTTAAAACAAGGGTGGGGTAAGTTTGCTAAAATAATTTGCCTTCCCGGGGGATAGGTTTGAGTGCATTAACAACTACTTGGACAGGGAACATCACACTATGTTTTCAGCGTTCTAGCTTCTCAGATCCCCGAGTTATGGACTTACGCCAAAAAAAAATTTGGCAGGCCTTTACGCGGTTACCATGTCTTCCCGTTGGTAAGCCGAACCATAATTTCTGAACAAACGGATGGTACGATTGCAAACAAATAATTTGCGAAATTTATGATATAAAAAAGCCAATTCGGCTCATGCGAAAACATGGGAAATTTGCATAAAAAAAGACACTAACAGTGCCGCTCTGGCCTGTCGAAAAAGTTGCGCTGCGAACGATATTTGCCAGTGGTGCTCCTCCTCCACCACCGCTAGCAGTAACCGTAATAGCAGTACCGGAAGCAGTAGGTGTAGCAGTAGCAACAGCAACAGCAGCAGTTGCAGCAGCAGCAGTAGCAGCAGAAGCAGCAGCTGCAGCAGCACTGTCGCCAATATCCGAAACATCCATCGCTTCCATTGGAACGGAGATTGCACGCCTGAAACAAAAATATTCTTGAGATGTGAACACGAAAAGCATAACCCCTCCCCCCCTTTCTGAGTGCCAGTGCAGCCCGCGGTATCACTGTGGGGCTGTCTGTGCACATCCCCGGAACTAACCGGTGAGATAAGAAGCGTGATTACATACACACACACACATACGCACACACGCACACACACGCACACACACATACATACATACATAGATATATATACATACATACATACATACATACATACATACATACATACATACATACATACATACATACATACATACGCACATACATATCATCACCATCATTGTAATTTTAATTTTAGATGGTATGTGTTTATGTAAGAAGTAAGGGAATAAAAGGGAATGTGA